CGCAGGCACGCTAGGGAAGTGGGAGAAATACCTTATATACTCCCCTTTTTAAAGGGCGACTAGGATTTTAGGGGACCTAGTCGCCAAATCCTGGGTGCGGAGAATCATCATCCACAACCCTTTTAGTTCGAGCGCCACTTGTAGAGTCATTAGGATTTTTTGGAAGCCAGAGAGATGAAAAATATGCAACGCTTCGGCGGGAATCGAACCACGGACCTCTGAAATACCGACCCAGCGTGCTACCGTTACACCACGAAGGCAGGCTAGGGAAGTGGGAGAAATATCTTATATGGTGATGAACATCAATTCTTAATCATAATATAAAATAAAGAAATTTCAAATATTAAATAAAGAAATAAACTACTGAATGCAGTATCATACGAATGCAGGGATTAAACCAAAGATAACTGATTTTTGACTGGTTTTTTAGTTTTGAAACAGTCGCTTGAAACGTTAACTAATTTGTTCACGATGGAGCGTGGAAGAAATGAGAACACAAAATTAAGAAATGGCTAGGATACAAAAATATTTTTGTCTATAATGATGAGAAAATGAGCGTATATCAGCAGCGAAATAGCAAAAGGTTTATAAAATATCGTAGCATGAAATTCTTTTACGGAGCTCTTTCGTTCGAGACACGTTCCCATTTATTTTCTTCAGATGATATATAAAAAGGGGTTAACGGAGTACAGTACTCTTCCACTTTCTGTATTCCCTTAGGTATCATTTATATGTCATATTTGGAAATGCTTGGAAAATGCTTGCAAACCGTCGGTTTTCAAAGCATGTGGAAAATTGCGAAAATTAGGAAAGAACACGCTTCATATTACAGTGCTTACAGATTGCTGATAAAATATTCTTGAAATGGAGTCTGAAGTTTAGAATCAGATCTTTGATATAAGTGCTCTAAATCTTTGCTTCCTTGCAATAAAATTTGTCTGTCCATCTATAGCAGATCTTATTTTCTGACCATTCCAATAATTATTTCCATGATATATTGTTTGAGGTAAGCATATTCCTCATATATATCAATTTGCAATAAGTTATGATTTGGTATTATTTTATTAATTAACTAAAAGACTGTTTCAACTTGACTCGAGAAGGGGTATCTTTTAATATGAGCCAGTTGTACATTTCGATCTCCTGAAATATTTTTTTTTCTCCATTTCTCCAAATAAGTAAAAGAAGTCTGATAAAATGAAACAATAGCTTCTCGAAATTCAATAATTTCGTACACCAGTGCATTTAGCATTTATTGGAATAACATTATCCTCTATCTTGCTAAATACTGAAGCTTTCAGAGCATCCGTCGAAACAATTACATCGAATACAGACACAGAGTAATCCCAGTGTTAATAAAATGTAGTCAAGCTTCTGCCACTGGATTTTCAAAAAATTCTAAAATAAGCATGGGACCCTTTCCTTCAGATTGAAAACAAGTCTTTGATGTTAAAAAATTTGAAGTACCCTTTCAATGGCGGGAAGGAATGCTAACCATCTTGTTTATGAATACCTTAGTATCAATCAATAATTGGTTTCTACGAAGTCGCACATATTTTTCAATGTTTTTTCTCTAACAGCTTAACATTTAATGTTACACATCTTACTCCAATTAAACCACGGTTAAGGTATAAGGTATTTCTCCCGCCTTCTTAGCATGTCTTCGTAGTATAGTGGTCTTCACGTATTCCAGAGGTTCGCGGTTCCATTCCCGGTGAGGGCGTTCCTCATTTCTCATCTCTCTCTCAATTTTAAAGGTTTCGTTTCAGTTTAACAGAAACATTATTTCTTCCATGTCTGTCAGCTCCTCCAAAGTTAGAGTTCGTATTATCGGCACAAATACCAATAACTTTTTGTTTTAAATTAATTTCTTTAAGAGTTTCTTCTTTTTCAAGTTAAATAATTGCTGACAATATCGGCTGTTTTCCCAGGTAAGGATTTCACGTTAACTTAATAACTTCAATCTATAAATCTAATAATTATTGGAAAAAGTTTTAATTAATTGTGACTGGACGCATAAATTAAGACTGAAACAAATGAACCCTTATTTATGCGGCCGGTATGGCGTGCGTCTCTTAACTTAAGCTTGTATTCTCAGTTTGTAATCTACACTACTTAAATAAATACATTTAAACTTTTACGTTCTCACAATACTGTTTTTTGGGACAATTCGGGACAAATACTTTAAATTCGGGACCAAAAACAAGTTGAAAAAAATCGGGACATGGACTGAAAATTCGGGGCTGTCCCGCGAAATTCGTGACGTATGGTCACCTTGCCTTTAACATAAGATAGTTGTCAATAGACGTACGACACTTTTTGGCCAGCAGCCAGTGGGGAGGAAAAGGACTTTCACTCTGGGAATATGCATACTTGCTACTCTGTCTGGGAAGCGAATGGTGTCTCACATGTTCATCTCGAAGAAACCGACAAGGAAATACTAAGTTTAAATAACACAAAAATTAAGACTTAGAAATAACGCCTTAACAACATCCACTTCAAGTTTCTGAATAAATTAACGAAAGGCGCATTTGTGAAGAACTGTCTGCTTCTCATTGCTAGATTTCTAACGTCTACAATTCGAAATTATTGCGGTAAGAAAACCACTCAAGAAACAAATGTTCATAAAACAAATAAATTTATTTTATATCTGTCTTGGCTATAGAACTGAAAAAGATAAACAGAAGTATTGAAGTTTGCACGCAGATCAATTGTACAGTCCAAATTAAAACAGGCACGTACAAATAGCAAATTAAAATGAAACTAAGCTAAGGGAACTAATTTGCTTTCATTTTAATTACTTTTCTCAGTAAATAAATTTCAAAACAAATTTCACTAACCACTTAAAAATTCCAGTTCTTTGCCTAACTAATAATAGCAAATGAGTGATTACTTTCTTCATAATAAATAGCATCTGTCGACCAAGGAAAGGCAAATTAATTTTGAAGTTTAAAAATCTATTCGCTCAGTTAGTCATATTCACGTTTATTCTGTGGGCTTTTTATGTCTTTATGAATTTTCTTACTTTTATGTTTGCTAGGGAAAATGGCAGTATACGACAGTCTTTTACATATTAATGGCCTTGTAGGGAAGAATATTTAAAATTACGACTGGTCAGAAAAATTAACCTAAAGCCTATACGTACATTACGAATCTAGATTTGTTTCTCTTTTTAACTAGATGTGGCAGACGTTTGCAAACTTCTAAATTTTACCATACATCATTTGCTTGCTTTGATGTTCTTTTAAGCAAAGCCCGGCTTGAGATTTCACTTCCAGGTCGCTGATAGCTGAATATCCTGTTATCCTTATCTAATCGGAAAATCTATTTACTATGGTTCACTTACTTTATTAGTAAATTTTATTGTTTGAATTCCTGTAAGAAGAACAAGTCAAGGGAAAAACATTACTTTCTTTAAACCGAATTTGCAGAGGAGTATTTGGCTCCATTCACATCATCAAAAACAGTTTTGATCAAAAAAGAGAGAAATCTTCGTATATTATACAAATTAGATTGAAGAGCCAATTTCCGAGTTTAACAGTAGATTTCCAAGTTTCGAAAAAGCTATAAGATTACTATATCACATTCCGTAATTACCCACTCAGCAACAGATGAGCTGGACTTGGTAGAAAAGATAAGACAGTAAAATTATCAGAATTGGCTAAATTTATTGCATTAAAACTGGAAAAAATCAACAGTTGCACTAAAGCAAAGAAATCCAAAACTCTGAAACAAGAAATGATCGCATAGACAGAAAACCAAAAAAGCGGTAGGTGCTGAAACAAGTGCATTTGAAGTTTCACTTCGAAAGTACTGTCAGGTTTTGGTCTTTGATTTCAAAATACTTTGACATAAATAATATATATGTGTGTGTGTGCGTGTGTAATATAAAAGATGTGTAAATCAAAATTATAACTTAAATTGGCAGTAGCCTCTTAATACTTCATTTTCATTTTGGTATTTCCCCTCTGTGTTCTAAAAATAATGATAAATTTACTGGACTGCATCATTTCTATATTAATCCGTATCATATGACTTTTACAAAACGATGATGACGTAGCTAATTCGGAACTCAACATTTCGAGAGCCGAAGCCTTTCTCTTAATAAATTTCCGAACTAGATGCTTCCAAACGCACCTGCTTGCTGCACTTTGGCGTAGCTAGACTGCTGCTTGCTGCTTCTCTTCTTACCGAAAAGCTGTCAAAAATGTAGATGTTCTGAATCAAGCACAATTAAAATGGCAAGCGAATTGTAGCCCCAAATGTGAATTTAAATAAAAAAGAATATTTAATATGTCTTGGCTTCCAAATTTGCTGTTCATTATGGATCAGCATCTACGCCAGTCAGCTTTCCTACATCATTACAGACATATATCTTAACGGCATATATCTTATATCGCCACTTCCGACAAAAATTAGGAGCATTTTGAAAGTTTGGAAAGCCATCCTAGTAGCAGTACATAGCCAAATAGAATTACTTATATATTTTTTAACCAGAAACTTAATAACTGTACTAAATGAGAAGAATGTTTTGCAATTTTTTTGTATGAAGTATCCAGAAAAATGATGTCCAAAACTTCGTACAATTCTGGCTGCAGTTTTCAAACATTAAATTTCTCCCTTTTTAGCCTTATTATCCTTACTAAACCTTTTTAGCCATATAAAATTATTTCGTATTGACAAAAACAACATATAGCTTCTTGCATGAATTATTGCAAAAGTGTAAGCAAATTACAACAGTTCATGCAAGAAGATATGTATTTACAGAAAACAACACGCTACAAAAAGCCATGACTGAAAACAAACATGTTGCTTAACCATGACTGATAAATAGAATATAGCCGAATGAAATTTATATACGAATAAATACATTAAGTGCATGCAACTATCTATTTATTTGCTATTAAATATTCTTTTCCCGAGAATCGATCATGTGAAGATTCGGAAAATAGCATCTTAAATTTCTGGAAAATTGCCAACTAGCGCTGCATCATCAAATATTATTAACAGATATTTTTTTATTTGCTTATCACCTACAATATAGCTGCTAATTTTTATCAGTACATATTTCTGAATGAAGCTGAAATTTGAGTCATACATATTTTTGTTTCTAAAAATGCTGAGGGTTCAAAGCTGCCGGATTTTCCTTATGAGCGCCCACAAGCAGCCGAGTGGTAAAATCGCTGAGTTCGACTCGTGTTCAGATCTCAGCAGATGGGCTAGTTGCTTGGAGATGTTCGCAGTTTTCCTCATGTGTAATATGAGTACAAGCCAGTTTCCCTTAGAAATTCATCATGAATGTATTCTTCCTCTTAGGCAGGCAGCTCTGGTGTGCTTTGCCATGATCTAAATAATCCAGTCCTTCCTTATGAGTAGATAAATCGTTGAAAGCTTATATCTGCATCCCAGGCTTAGTTACAGGCAAAATGTTCTGGCTGTATTGTAACATTTACAGTTTCCTTCGTCCAAATTCAAGATAATTTCCCTTAGAAAGTAATCCATGTAACTATCCTCATAAAACAGAGAAGCAACAAGGTCTTTGTCCTATAACATTCACCTGTTCATGAAATGAATAAATAAAAATAACCTAATTTTTAATACATAGAAATATAATACAGAAGTGAATTAAAACTACATAAAGGAACTTGTAAAAATGATCTTGGAACTAAACCTTTTTATAGCTCATAAATTTTTCATATTTTTAATTATATAGATAATTTTTTACCTTATTTAAAAGACATTTTCGTTGAATGAAAATATTTACAAGAAATGGAAAGTTTAGAAGTTTTCGGGTTACATTTGCTATGAAGTTTACAATTCTTTTTTTCAATTATTTAACATCGTTAGATTTACAGTATCTAAAAAGTTTTTTTTTTTCCTGAAAGGCATAAAGAACCTCATAGCTAGTAATAATTAATTGGTTCATTTCAAAACTTTCTAACACCATATTAACCTTGAAATGACATTTCGACTTCAGAGGCATTCTTTTTTGACGTTACCAACATCTTTACGAGCAATAAAAATTTCCAGTCGTCCTCCAAAAGAACGGGAAGTCTTCGTTAACTCAAAACTGAAAACCAAAGCTGAAGCGGTGTTAAAAGCAAAAGTGTGCATGTCTTAGAACTACTTTCATTCTGCATTAAAAATAAAAAATTTATTTTTTAAATATTGTCTTAAAACACAGCAGAAATATTTCTAAAATATCAAGCCAAGCTTTAGACATAAAAGTAAATAATATATACTTAGTATTATCATATTTATCAAAACATAACCCAGATGGTCGATAAACCTAATACTTTTGTTCCTATTTTGTGTGAAGCTAACTAGAAGCAATCCTTTAGTTCATGCTAACACTTCAGACATGGTTTTGAACGTGCTGAATTTACTTTTCTTATTGCAGATTAACTGGAACAAATCCCTAAATGAAATTAATTAAATTAGCTTATATAAAAAAGAAAGGTTTAGCAAAATGGTACTTCTTTCGGACTTATTATAATCATTATCAAGATTATTTGTTCAAATATATATGTATCTCTGATCTAGTATGTAAACAAAGCAAATAGACAAGTTTTTAAAAGTTTTTAGAAAATTTGTTCAAAAATATATTTAAAAAGTTTAAGTTTTTTAGTTCCTGCTTATTCTTTAGCTGCTGCAGACTAAGAATAATTATACTTGGTGCAAGAGAAAAAGAATAGTAAGGTATTCAATTTCCGTGGTAAACAATAACTATTCTGTTTGCGTCGAGCATTACGATACGCAAAATACGTAGTCCAGACTGATATTGTAAACACAGACGATATTTTGTGGACTTTACAGTCATTTGCTCTGTTATGTTTTCCCTCTTCTATTCTTTTTATCTTTTATTTTTTTCTCTTTCTCTCTACTCTTTTCTCTGAAAGTATGACGTGAAAGACTCGTGCTTGGGCTGTTGCCAACCACGGGATGAACTCGTGCTTTGAATGCAAAGGGTGAAAAAAGCTACACCTCATCTCATCGCTGATTTGTTGCGTTTTACTTCGTTGTCTGACAAAAAGGAGGTTATTGAAATTATTAGATATAGCTTGTTGCATGTCTGTAACACTCATTTTTTGCACGAACGTTATTTCCATATCGCATTGATACGTAGAAATGCGATGCGCAGATTTAAACTGCTCTATAATATTTTATTGCATTTCTAAGCAATTCGATTATGAATGTATAATACTGAATTAAATATAATGATAATCCGAGTAAATAAAAAGTAAATATATATATATAGAGAGAGAGAGAGAGAAAGATGAAGTTAAAACTAAAACTAAACAGGCAAAAGAAAAACAAGTAATAAAATAAACTTTATATTAATAATTAAGCAAATTAATGGCATTGCAAATTATAAATGGAGTTAGCTGGATTTTTTTAATTAATTTTTTTTTAAATTGAAAACTAAAAATGGAGTCAAAAATAATATTTTCCATATCATATTAAATTAAAATATAGCCGTATAAGTCACTTAAACGTGGAAAAGCTGTAATCTTCAGACTCTTACGTTGAGTTTTTAATCTTTTTTCATTTATCATTTTTTTATCTTTTAAAACATCTTGATTTAAAAAAAATTGTCAATTAATTTCATTCATAATTTGTGATACAATTAATTTGCTTAATTAATATTATAGTGTTTATTTTTCTACTAGTTTTTTATTTGCTTGTTTAGTTTTAATTTTAACTTAATCGATATTTACAAATTATATATTATGAGCATTATGCACAGGAAATATTTTTTAAGAAGACTTTATTACATGTATGTTTTCCAATTTAAATGTATGTATATATACATACATAATGGAAAACTACTGTTAGATAAAATTCGGTAACAATCTGTCTACGTATAAAGCATAAACTCGAAGGCATGCTGAAAGCATAATTATTTATAATGCTATCTAGTTTAAGATTTGAACCTCATTCTTTATATGCAGTAGAACTCCAGTTATCTGAATTAAATGGGGGCGGAGTCACTTCAGATAATACTTGTTTTCGAATAACCCATGTCAACTATTTTCGGCATTTAAAGGTAGAACATGTAGTTCTACTTTTAAATACACACCGTTAAATATTTAAACTTTATCGTTTAAATGTAAATACCGCTAAGCAAAAGGGCGAATTACAATTCGTGTTCGCATTTTTGATAATGCAGATAGCTTTATCAAAAATTAGATAAAGAATTCAACCTGAGATTAACGTTGGGTTTCTAAAAATTTTCTAAACTGACTCGAATCCCTCAGTACAGCTTTTCTATAACGACAACATTCAATATAGTTGAATTTTGCTTATTGCAACGTTACTTTTTAATTATTTTATACACATTATTTAAAACAGTGATTCGTTTCCATTTCAGTTTTTTATCGCAACACCTAAAGAGCAACAGCAGGTCGCCTTCGAGTGTTCAGCATTTGACATTAAAAGCCAACTTTTGGATGGAAATCTCAAAGCTCACTATTTTTGCGTACTTTTTAGTGAAATCATTTGTTTTCGTTATAAGATATCTATTTACTTCACTAAAATCAAATTGAGCATTCAAAAGTTTTAAAGTGATTACTTTCTTTCGCAGCTAAACGAAGTTCGGTTAAGCAAGCTTTTACTACATTAGATTTCGAGCTGAAAATTTCCCTTTGCTCATCACTTGCCTTTGTGATGTAACTGGAAAAAAACATCCGAATAACATTGAAAGGTCCTGAATTCGGATCCTGACGAAGGCATAGCTAATTTTTCATGTTTCGCGGCTTCGTTAAAATTCTAAATGGACTGCACAAGGAGCGTTCGAACAAAAATACGGTAGACGACAATTTTTCACCACCTGGATTTGGTGACTTCATCCCTTTCTTCCCAGTCGCACTTTTAATGGGGAAGAGAGTAAGGGATTTTTTCCTTTCCTTGCATCATGCCTTCGTGGTGTAGTTCGAAGCACGTCCAGCTAGTGTCTGAAGGTTCGGAGCAATTCCCGGCGAGAGCATGGATGAGTTCTGTGTTCTCTGCGTTGAAAACAAACCTACTAACACTGCACTCTTAACTGCTAGACGCTTGGAACATTTACAATAGCTTGCTTAATTTACAGTTTATTTTATTTTGGATAAAACTTCGGATATTTTTTTAAGATGGAGAGTTGTTTCAATAATTCCTCCTCTACCGCCCCTAAGTGCTAAAAGCCACGTTTACTACTTGATTTTCTTGAGAGTTAGTTATCTGCTGTGCTGTATTATTCTCGCCATTAGGCTTACACTGGTATTTAGGTCTGAGCCAACCAGCGAGTTTCCTGTCTGTGTAACCTTTTCGGCTAATTTACGATTAACATAAATTTAATATCAGTTCTCTCACTTTTTGATTTACGTCGTAAATGCTGGCTGGTTTTGTAAGTACAAGACATGCCTTTTGATAACTTTATCTGAATTAAATAAAAAAAAAGGTCGTTTACACCCTTCACAGTCTCTGTGGTAATTTCCAAGACATAGAGATAATTATTTTAAGTCTTAGGTAGAGTTCTCGTAAATTGTGTTATCAAAGAGAACAAAACTCTATAAGGATTTGCGACAGACAGAACTTTATAATACTAGTGATCAGTTTATTAAACATTTAATGATTTGTTAAGTATGCTCCTAAACAATAGCTTTGATAGAAATAGAATTCTTTGTTCCGACTTGAAAGGCAGACTTTAAATGCTAACGGTACTTTACTGTGGAGATTCAAAAATAAACGAGCGATCTGAAAATGAGACCAAACTGAATAGCTCATGATCCACAGAATGGAATGTAAGTATGAAGGAGGACAAAAATATGAGTCATCTGTTCAACTGTATTATACAGAAGTAAGACTCAATCAGAATAGTCATTATGAAGTATCTATTTAGTGAGCTTCCACGAAATAATCAAGCATTACCTTTTGAACTCTTAAATTACGTGATGATATCAATTAATTCACATCTGGAATACGCTCATACAAGAAAGTGTTTTTTATATATATATATATATATATATATACTGTAGACGTCCAGTCTTTCTTCTGTTACTCATTTGCACATTTTCTCTCCTCTTTCTTATCAAGAAACAGGAAACTTATTGAAATAATATAATTCTCCAACACTTATCCAGAATGGAATAATCATATATACACATTAAGCTATTCATTCCCTGGATATTAACTCCTTCTTCAGACACCCTTGCACTGCCATGTATGAGGAAAAAAATTAGTTTCCTTTCTTAATAGCTTGTTCAATTCAGATTTCTGGTCATCTTCCAATTCTTCTCCACTCAGATGAGCAACAGCATATCATGCTCTTCCTTTCCTTTTATTTGCTTAATTTATAAACTTGAATTCAATTTTGGCAAATATCCAGTGACATTCCACTAGTCTGTAGGTAATTATATTCTAATACGCACGCAGTGGTTACAGATGAATCATTTTATAAGCGTTCTGCTAACTTTGCAAGAGAGAAAAACAGCAAATACTAGAAAATGTAATAGATAATAACCAAATATAGAGTGAGATGTATAAAAGCATTTAATATCTATCAGTATTGCTAAATATTGA